TTCTACTATTACCCTCATTTAGCTAATAAATATATTGTGTCTTTTCATATTCACTCTTTATACTTAATTGATTGATGTTTATTTTTTTTTTTTAATTTAATTGTTATGTCAATTATTATGATGACAGAGTTTAACTACAATACAACGTTATACAATGTGATAAAGCTGGACCAATATGGCTACGACAACTGCCACTGTATGGGCTGGGACGTGTCTCACAATCCAAAGCAAACATTTCGACTCAACAAAGGAAACAATTTCTTCGTCAGCGGCACTAAATGTCACGGAACGGATGATGACATGAAACTTGCTCTAACTGCCCTTTGACAATAAATGCTTCTTTCAAACTATCTTATAACTGCTGCCTTTTAGTACTTATCTACATATATATTCCGGATTAGTCGGTTCCCCTGTGGATCCGAAAACCGGAAGGTCTCTATACCAAAAAAAATATAATAAGTGATCATGGATCACATATGATAAATAAGGGGTTACGTTTTATTTTATTTTATTTTTTCTACTGCACTTTCCAATTAACCACTAATTTTGTTCCACTTTGTAAACTAGAGCAAATCGCAGCATTATAATACACAAATTTAATTTGGGAATTTTATTAGAAATCTCAAAACGACTATTTTCGGTCAATATGTAAAAAAATAAGTATAAGAGAGATCATGCAAGCTCATATATGGACGGTTTAATTTACAACGACGACCAACAATGCACGAGCCAATAGGAATAGAACACGTATGTGGCCAGGTATTTTAGCTAACAAAGGACAAATGAAATAAAGCCGGAAAAATGAAACAGGGAATATAGGTTTAATGAAGCATCCTTGTACATGTTTGCGTACGACATTACAGTCAATATCAAGATGCTTTTTGCACGCTCGTGAAATACTGAATTGGCAGTCACTACGAGAAAATGATTTCGGCACGTGCAGACTCGGCACTCGCCAGCGACGTCCTATCCACGAGCACGCAAGTCTGGTTGCTAGGCGCGTTCGAGGCCGACCTAGCACGCACTGCGAGTTCCGTGTAGCGGGCTCCCAACCGAGACCAATGCACACCAACACACTCGCTGCAAAATTGATTTCGCGACCTAGCGAGTTGCAAAATTCATTAAATGTGTGTATTTTGGGGTATTAGTATATTTACATTTTCTATCTTTGCGTGGGAGCACCTAGACTTCATTTTCTTCATTTTTTTTCTTTTGGGGATTGCTCTCCATGGCTCATATTTTCCAGCGACTTTATTTTTATGCAAGTTTCAAGCTTTTTGTGTTGAGAGCTCCATGACTCATATTGTTATTCAAGTTCTAAGCTTTTTCATTCCAATTTTCTTCGAGCATGCAATAGGAGAGTGGTTACTTAAATTTTAAGATTCATTACTCTGTATTGGTTCCATTTTCACTTATGAAGTTTTAGTCATGAAGAACCAATGAGAAGTTAGAAAAACAATGGACTAGTTAAAAAAGATATAACTATTTTTAATTCAAATTCTTTTATTTATTTTTATTGTTCTATTATAATTATTTTATTAATACACGACAATAATAATGCATGTGAACTCCATATAATGCCAATGTCTTAAATAATTATACAATAAACTTAAGTTGACATAAAAAAATAATGACTAAAATAAGAGCATCACGCCAAATTGAACCCGCAAGCAAAATATACGAAAAGAAATCGTGCGTCACTTGTGCAACTCTATAACAACAACAAATTATCGGAAGAAAACAAGGCATACAGTTCAATAAACTTCAGTTGCACTATAGTTTGTGGGAATCCTTTGACGTTTCTCCACATAAGCAGTCGGGAACCATCCTGCTTTGCCTTTGCATTCTCCTTCGGACCATCCAGACGGACTCACCTGAGAATCAAAGTGTCGAAAAATATTTGACTAGGAAAATTACAGAGGATATAAATAATCAAGAGCACCAAAAAGTGAAAGGTGTAATGAGAGGAAACGGGAGGAGTTTACTTTCCGAACAATAACAAAATCTCCGACTGACAAGCTAAGTTCCTTGTCTGATGTAGCATCAAAACAATGCATTGCCTGCAAAATTGAATCAATGCTTTACCGAATCTTGCTCCAACGGCATTATTTTGGGTTTAAAAAAACCTCCAAACCTCCTTATACACACGATTGAAAATAATTTGAAAGAGAAAACTTTTTAACATTAACATACCTCAGCCAGAAAGTACTTTGTTTTCCCAGAGATTTGAAGAGGGGCAACAGGAGGAGCTGCTTCTTTCCTTTGCTTCTCAGAGACCAGCTGCACCAAATTACATTTTTTCGCATATCAGCTCAGGCTTAAAACACTTGAAACATAAACCTGAGAGTGCAAAAATACATACCTCAGCTTCAACATTACCAAGAATTGTAGCAACCCTCTCATGGTATGTCCTCTCACCTTCAACCTGCAAAAACATCAGAAAGACCTAAGAAAATCACACATTCAATTTGCTTATACACGAGTATCCAATAAATTTACCATTGCTACAAGTCTCTGGAATGTAAGCCTTTGCTGCTGTGATTCAACAGAGGCCAAAGCTGCTGCCGCTTCCTTACCAAGAACTGCCATGTTTGCTTTGAGTTCTTGTATTCTAGTTTCGGCAGCATGAAGCTTAGCCACATTTTCAGGAATAGGGGATTCCCTAACGCGGGCTTGTCTTCTAACAATTTCTGCAGCCTGCATTTAACTTGAACTAAGTCAAAATTTCGGGATATTTTTTTTTTTTTTAACGGCCATTTAAGTGCATGAGTTTTCTCGTCACCTGTGCCTCTGCTTCCTGTCTCATTCTACTATATCGTTGAGCAAGATGACGAGCATCTTCCAGAGGAGTACCAGTAATCATTGCTCTCAAGGGTTCTAACACCTAAAAGAGAGGGAGGAAAGTACCTCAGGGATTAGATAACATGATTCTTGAAATTCAACAAGATAAACGAAATAATGTAGTACAATAAAATCTCTCAGCAACAAAATGCAAAGTCTCTACGATTATTTTGCTACTTAGTCCGCACTATGAATTAATGATTCCAGAGCAGACTAAGATATGGGTTTCAATGTGTAGCTAAGCCCTAGCCCAGCAAGAAAACGGATGCGCATAACTCGTGTGGACTTAAGCTCCTCCAGTTATATCAAGCAGGAACAGAATCATATCAGGTGTGTTTATCAATCCTAAAGCACTAATCTGCCAAGTGCCAAGCATAACAAAAGAAAAAACACTATCACAATATTAGAATCCATCCTTGAAGTACACAAACCATGAGTTTATTCTCCTAGCAGTGAATACTCGAGCAAGCAGACATACAACAACTAAAACTGACGGCATGTTAGATTATTTCCAATAGTGAATACAAAGTATCTAACCAACCTGTGTAAACAATAATCTATTGAAGTCTTCTTGCTCCTTCTCTACATGTTTACGAGCATCCCCATATACGGATGCAGTTTTGGAAAGAATCTCATCACTAGCATTCTCAACTCCATATCTGGAACAATCTTCTGACAACTTGGTTCCTAACTACCATAATACATGTAGAACTAACTAACTTGAGTATATCAGATGCAATTTGAACAAGCAACTGACCAAATGAAATAGCAGAATTCATATACGCTCACCAGCTTCAATGTGTTTATAACCTACAGCACTGAATGCTTCAGCTGCTTTGACAATATCTTTCTGAAAATCCTGCACAAAAACATATATTTACAGCTAGAACCACATTATATCAACAAGTAAAAGGGGAAATCTTAAAAATTACAGATCCAAGTCTGCGGTGACCTCAAAACAAAATCTTAGACTAATCTTTTGGTTTCATTAGGCTTACTTTGACACGACTAATAATCATTGATCCGCAAATAAAAAACACACATCCACACTCAACATTTTAAATTAAGTAGAAAATTGTTACATGCCAGTCAGAGTCAAATGCAATCTAGCAAATAAATATTCACAACCACCACTGATAATCATACACTTAATCATATCCTATCCGGAAGCAAAGCAATTTCTGCACAATTCTGTAATTCAAATTGAGTTCACCAACACAATCCCATGTTCCAGAACAACCTGAAGGACAAATCTGGCCATAATCAAATACCATAACAATGCTAATACAAGTGCTGTCTTCGTATTTTTAGCATAAATTATGCAAAGCTAGCGACTGTAAGTAGAAATTTCATTACAATAACAATGATAATGATATTCCTGGTACAAACATCAACAACCACAACTAAATAACGTACCCTTCCAGAACGAGTGGATCTGTAAAGTTTCTCCAATTGCTGATGCATCTGTAGCTCAACCTCATCAATAACCATAGCTTCCGAGCTCTCATAGCCGCTCGTACTGAACTGCTTTATCACGGCCTACGAATTTCCCAAAAAAAAAAAAAAACAAATAAATAAATAAATATTTAACGATTGATTATCTTTTTTGTTTTTCGATTTGATGAAAAATTACAACATAAACTAGATCGAACCTGTTGTTGTTTAGCGACTTGATCTCTGAATTTGCTGGCTTGCTTCCTCAAGGCGTCCATGGCTACTTTCTCACGGAGCGTTGTGTGTAGAAATTGGGAAATGCCAACAGATCTCTACTCCGACGCCACGCCACGCCACTGGGTTTAGGTCATCTTCTCAATCTGAAGTTGTGAGTTGTGACCATGTGAAAAGGCAAGGAGCAAAATGTAAGCGAGTACGATACGAATTGGAAGAAACTGTAGAAAAGGAAACTGTAGAAGCCACGTCCGTGTTTGGACTTTTTACCAATCAAATTTTAGGTGGAGAAACGCTTGTGAGCTCGGCTCGGCTCGATTCAATTTGTTGAGCTCGATCTAATTGAAAGCACATCTATATCTATATATATATAATTGCTGGTATGTAGAATTTAATAAAACATTTAATAAAACCTCTAAAATTTTCCTTCCATTTTCGGTTACAAATTTTGTCATTAATATTTTTTGCTTCTCACATTAATATATCTTAATGAGTGTAATCATGTATGTTTCTATTATATTATATAATAGTTATTACTAATACCAACTAATAATAATTCACAATAAATATAAATTACATAATTATAAACAATTGTTTCAAGTTATGTATATTAACATCAGTATTATCTTTTTCTTTTGTATCTCATAAAGACATTTCTTTAAACAACTTTAAAATCTTATAAATAATTTTTTTTAATAATATATATATATATAATTTCTAGCTTAACATTTAATTTTACCTATTTAATAAAACCTCTAAAATTTTTCCTCTATTTTCAGTTACAAAATTTATCATTAATATTTTTTTACTTCTCACATTAACACATCCTATTAAGTGTAATAATGTATTTTTCTATTATATTATATAATAGTTATTACTAATACCAACTAATAATAATTCACAATAAATATAAATTACACAATTATAAACAATTGTTTCAAGTTATTTATATTAACATCAATATTGTCTTTTTATTTTGTATCTCATGAAAAAATCTCTATAAAAACAATTAGTAAATTATTTTAATAGCATAGTCAAACAACTTTAGAAGCTTTTAAATAATTGTTTTTTTAATAATAATAATAATAATAATAATAATAATCAAACTGTTATTATCTAATGATAATAAACAATTGTTCATAATAATAAAATCGTTAATTTATTTTTTTCCTAATGATCAAATTTTTTAAAATGTAATATGTTCATTATCTAGAATTTTAATATTAAATTCTCAAATATTACTTACTAATATTTTATGTACATCTGTGCATGTGCACAGGATATCTACTAGTATATATATAATTGTTAGCTAATCATTAAATAAAACCTCATAAATAAAATCTATTTAATTTTACCTAATAAATACTACAACCTTCCATATAGAATGAACGTTATTTTTACAATTATGGATTATTATTGTACATTTATGATTATACATTGTAACGTTTCATTCTTTTAAACGATATTTTCATCTTTTTATTTTCTTTTATGACACCTAATAAAAAATAATTAAAATTTAAAATAATCTATATATAATTAGGAATTATCACAGCAATAAAAATTTGTATATTCCACTTTTTTTTATACATAGTAGCTTGGGTTTTTACTTAATATGTAAGCATACTAATGTTGAAATTAATTGTTACGATTTTATGCGCTCATTTAATAATTCTACCTTTTATTCTATATATTTTTTAAATAGAATGATTACAAATTATTCTACCAAAACCTGTGGTATAATACAAAAATAGAAAATTAAAATAAAACAATCGTTCTTATAAAAGACAATTTGTTGTTGCATAAGAACGTATTTAATTTTTCAAAAAATGCATTCGTTTAAATAAAATCCATAGCCTCAAATAGTAGTAGTAGTAGTAGTAGTAATAATAATAATAATAATAATAATAATAATAATAATAATAATAATAATAATAATAATAATAATAATAATAATTATTATTGTATTTTATATAAATATCATTCAAGTTATGATTATCTTTATATTTCTATATATATAACCATTCACAAAGAATTTATTGCAAAAATAAAATCAACACATTTTATTCAACTAATTGTAAAAAGAAGTTGTTATATTTTTCATTAATTAATTAAATTATATATTTTATAATTACATAATAACTAATAATAACTAAAGGATATAAGAAAGTTTATACATATAAAAAATATTATTTAGATTTTTTAAGCTATTATTTAAAATAATAATTATTTTTTAACTCATTAATATTTTTTAATAAAAATAGTTATTTACTTTTTATGGCATAACCAAATCATTTTTATCTAATTAACTGGTCATAATCACTATCATGTTCTACAATTATCATTATAGTGATTTATGTTTGTCCCATTTTTGTTGCATTTTTTCGTTATTATTTTCTCATTCTTTTTCCCCATTTTGAGTTATTTAGTTGATTTTAGTCCATTTTGTCGTTTATTGTGTGTTTTTCTCCGTTTCGGTCTTTTTTGTGTTTTCCGTTTTTTTTTCGGTTTTCTTTCGTTTTTGGTGTGCAGGTCGAATGATTCGGGAGGATTTATTCGAGTCCAGACGAGCATATACGAGTCCAAACCGTAAGGCCGTGCGACAAAGAACACGACATTCCCAGGCATCGCGCCGTGCCAACCCTCGTGCCGACGCCGCGAGATGGACAGAGGAGAGGTCCTGTCGCGCCGCTGCTGAAGTCTCGCGCCGCGCCACTGCTCTTTGTCGCGCCCACGTTGCGCTACCATGCCGGGAAGTCTGCTCACTGCCGCGCCGCTGCGTACTGCCACGCCGTGGAGGATCTCCCTGCTCCTCGCGGCGGCAACCCCACGTGATGGACAGAGCCTCAAGCGACCAAGCTCCGCGCCGCAATCAATGCCACGCCCGCGAGAGTGACTCCTGCCGCGCCGCGAGATGGGCCACGCCGCGAGGCCTGATGTTGTGTACGCTATCTGCCGAGCCAGTGACACTCCCACGCCGTGGCGTACTTACTAATATAAATATCAGATCGGGGGCCATTCTTTGGGGACGACGGAAAAACACCCAAAAACCCTTCTTCTTTTCTTCGTTCGTTCTTTCACTTTTTCTTCATCGATTCTCTACGTTGAACAAGATTTTAACATTGGATTTAGCTATTTCTTTCGGATTAAGCTTGTTTATCGAATTCACGGTGAAGTTTATCAATCGTAAGAATCCCTTTTTATTTAATCGTAATTATGAATTCTTGGGGTGTGATTTCTTTCGTTGATTGTTCGATCATGAGTAGCTAAATTCGCATGCTAGGGAATAGGGAATCGATGCTTTGAATTTGTTGTGATTGTCGGGCTTGAGATTGTTCAATTTATGAGACTCATTCTTAATTAGGGTTTTCGATTTATGCTTGAATGTTGAGAATTATCGAAGAAGTGACACTTTGATTTACAATTGCTTGTTGATTGAATTTGATTCGTTCCCCCGTGATATTGTTAACTCTATATCGACTAGTTGATTGAACATCTTCTAGAATTATTTAATCGGCTCTTAGAACCGAAAGGGGAGGAGACGGTTGAAATAGATTCGCATGAAGTAGGCTTGTTCGTAATTGTATTACCTAGGAGTTATTTGACTCGTTAATTTGCCGTTCTAGTTTATTCTCTTGTTACGAATAGTTATTGAGAATGAATGCTCGATAAGGTAGATTATTCGAATTTCTTAGCTGAACAATCGCTCGCCCGGTAGTTGCTTGTCGAACCAAAGCAGGAATCCCCGACTCCCTAGCTTCTTTATCTTTATTTGTTTTACGTGATCGTTTGCTATTTACTTGCTTAATTCTATTTATTTGCAGTAGTCGATATTAAAAACCAATCAATCTTTGATTTAGAATGTTTATGATTTTTATTTCTTTTATTTTCTCTTTCATTCGTGTGTGAATAAACGTGCTTAATATTCCGGCTGACCTTCCTTGTGACATGACCCGGGGAACGAATCTTTTGCTTCGGTACTCGGTAAAAATATTAACAACAATTTATATGTAGGTTAAATAGTTTATACTTATATCGTTTATATTTACAAACCATAAAATTTCTGCAATATGATATACTCATTATTTATCTTAAATTTTAAATATTATATAAATGAAGAATCATGCAATCCATCAATTAAAATGGCGGGACAATATTAGAGTCAGTCAAAAAAAATAAATTAAAATCAATCTATTATTCTTTAAAATTGAGCAATCACTAGGCAATTAACTTATACAATCAATTACCATTTTTTAAAACTTTATAAATAGCTGAAAAGTAAGAACCAACATCACATTCAGCAAAAAATACTACTCAATAGGAAAAAAAAAATCAACCAAATTCTCATTTCAAATGGCTTTTATGTTTGATAATATTGAGGTTGATTCGCCATTATTCAACAAGATCTTTGATAAAATGAAAATAAAAAGAAAAAACATCAAAATGGCGGATTGGAGTACGTATTTCACGATGTCAAGGTATAAAAAAAATTTCAGTCTTTTTTAACACATACTATTTCAATATCAATTTTTTGTAATATTATTTTTTTTATCGTGTAGGGTCAGTGAATTCACGCTTCAGACTCGGGTTGCTTCGCTGAAAAATTTTAAGAAGTTTAAAATCAATGAGGGTCGTACTTATGCCATAGAAAATTTTAAGGTGTTTTCCGACCAGAATTATATGTCATAAAAAAATTTATACAACAAAAATGATCCGAAAACTTTATCCACGGAATACAAAAAGCATACAAATATATTAAACCTTTAAACAAGCAATTCACATCTAGATCAATAGCTTCCCCGTTGATAAATTAAAAGCATGACTACGACAACTAAACAAAATAGGAATCGATCTGAGTGTTTGTTAGATGAGAGGAAAAAAATAGTGAAGAAGAAATGGCGAAAATGTTGCACGTGGTAGGGTTTCATGCATCAAATATCTGCCTCTACCACCTTCTTTAATGTTCTATATATGTGTGGTGGATGAAACTTTGGCTGTGCTATATGGGTCCGAACATCCTTCATCAGTGCATCAAACTTCGCCTTAAAGACACGATAAATTATATCTAGACGGTCCTCAGGTTTGAGGTTCCTTTTAGAAAGGAATCGACTGATTTCAGGCCACTTGGGATTGCAAGTGATAGTTATGAAGATATCAGCATAACCGGTACAACGACAAATGGTAATCGCATCTAACGACAAAGGGTGCACTTCAATTGGCAGTCAATAAAATTCTTATCCATCATTTATATTTTCTTTGATTAGTGTACAAATCGATTGATATGTTTTTGTTCTCCGAATTTGAGATCGACATATACTCGATTAGTTAGTACTAAGCTCAACAGCCATGTATTCGAATGCAAAATATGAACCGGTGCCAGAGCTGGTGATAAAGTTCTTATTCGTATGCTCAAAATCATACCATCCGATTTGAGGGTACCTTTCAAGTTTCAGCGCATGCAGTTTCTGCTCATGGTTTCCTATGCTATGACAATCAATAAGAGTCAAGTATAATACTGTCGCACATCAGCTTACTATTGAAGAGCCCTGTATTTAGCCATGAACAATTGTACGTGTCGCTTTCTAGAGTACGAGCCGAAGGGGTTTGAAGATAATGATTTGTGGTGATGGAGATTCTGACAATTAAAAAACCACGAATGTTGCACATAAAGAAGTGTTTAATAATATTTAATTTTTTTAAAATGTTTTTTTTTTATGACTATGTTATGATTTTACTATTGTTTATAATTTTTTATTATTTTATTCTTTATCATATAGCTTTATGTGCAAATGCACAGGTTACAACTAGTTTAGTTAATAAATCGGGCTCCGGCTAGATGCCAAGACTTAAGATAATCAAAAGATAATTAATTTGATAAATTATATATAAAAATAATATAAAAATAATAATGTTGTTATATTTTATACATAATATGTCAAATTAAAATTTTCATATATAATATTATTAATATTTTCTTGATGATATTCAATTTGACATCCACATAAAATAAATAAATAATTATAATTAACTTTATAATAAAAGTTAAATTATATATTAATATTAATTAAAAAAATTAATTAAATTAACTTAGCTACAAAATGATATAAGTTAAAAACTATTATAATATAAGATATTAAACGCCTTATAAGCAGTGTCATTTTAAATATGAATAAAATTAAAAAAAAAATGATTTTTTTTTTTTAATATGAATTTTAAATATAAATTTCTAACAAGATGAATTTGTTTTTCCATACCAACTACTAGCTGGGATGCTTGGATACAAATATTTTAAAAACAAATTCCCAACATTTTTAACTCATCTATATTTTTTTTTTTTTTTTTTTTTGGTACAGGGACCTTTCGATTTCCGGATCCACATGGAAACCGACTAATCTAGAATCGAGCCGGGTAGGACCACAAGGGCGGCAAAGCTCTCCCTCAAGAGTTTTAACACTGCTGCATTTTCAATGCTCGAACACCACATCAATATTATCAATATAATAAAATAATCTTCACCAATCATTCTTATACACCACATCAACTTTAATTCACTATTCATCCACTCACATTAATTTAATTAATCATCACTTCAGATCATTTATCTCCTACTTTTATCATAATCGAAGGATCAAGAAGAAAAACGAAGGATCAAGAATTAACGTGAAACCTGTTCAGACCGATAGTAGTAGTGGGAACAGTTCAGATGATGAGGCTTCGTGATATTAATTATGGTCGAGCAACAGATGATTCTTCTTCGGTTTTTGATTCAGTTAAGGTAGTTGAACTTTAGTCCGAGAAAATAGTCGAGGCTATTCAGACTGTACATGTTGAGGAGGTGAAAATTATACCATTTGTCGACTCGGAGAAAGTTTCTCTGTTGGATGAGCAATGATAAAAAGTTCCAGTGGAAAATCTGAGTTCTGTTGGAGATAAAATTGATGCACCATTGGAGATATAATAGTCTTATGTAGCAGCTTCTTGATGTACTAAACCTTACCTTTTAGTTTCTCATTTTCCTTTTTTGTCTGAAAAAATACATTTATGCAGCCTTTGCTTCACCCCTCGATATCTCCAGTGCAAAAGGCATCGTGGAGAAATTGTTGTGGACTGTTTGAAGTGTTTTCAAGGTCTGGAAGATAATTCAAAAGGTCAATATTCCTTCTGAAAAAAAAAAAAGTTTCAATCGGTCTCGTAACTTCTGATTGTCCATGAATGTATACACAAAACTTTCTTTCTATTCATGTATTCAGGAACCTTTGATGATTACTGATCTTCTTGTTGATTTTGATATTGGTAAAAAACAAAAAAAAACTAATAGAATCCTTTTGCAATTGGGATGAAATGCATGAATCATGGTGCTCATTTAGCAGTCGGTAAATTATTTTAAATGTTGTATGTACACAATAATAATTTGATCTCTGAATCAATCGAAGACCCAGTTGGGTATACAACTTGACGGCTTATTTCATCATAGCTGAAGAAAAAATGTCTGACATGAAAAAGTAACAGTATGCATGTAACTGGTTCTGTTTTCAGTGCATTAACAGTATGCATGTAACTGGTTCTGTTTTCAGTGCATGGTATTTACAGGTAGGATTGAATTTTTCTAGTTACGTTGATCTATTCAATAATAATATCCTACACTGATCCAATATATAGAATTTTTACGAACCTTAGACTATTATTAGAACGTGGACAGAACATTGGTCCGAAAACAAAATTGTTGGCTCGAGCACAAATCTATTTGTTTGACACGAGTCGAGTCAAACCAACTTGTTTACTAGACGAGCAAAGACAACTCGTTTATTAAAGGAACCCTCAACTACTCAAATAGCATATCTGGCTCCAATACTGATTGAAGTGAGCATAAAGTGAACTCCAACTTTTAATTACTACATTTCTTCAATTGGTCAGTAAAAGAATTTAACTTCACATTTCTCCAACTTTACGGACCTGAAAAATTCTTTCCAATCTAAACAAATTTTGCACTCTTAAAACTATCTTCAATTCCTGTACACAGCTCAACTATGGAAATAAGGCATGATATACTTCAAAGTTGAAACACAAGCTTTATCTCAACTTAAACTGGAAATCAATACTCATCTAAAAAATGTATACACAAAAAATGTATACACACAGACTGATCAAATACATTTCAAACAAAAACATTAACAGAGGCCAAACCAACTCAAATGTATTCAACAAAGTATAACAATATCAGATGACAAGGATAATAATTAGTACTGCAATAATAATTAGTACTGCATTACAAGGTTTTGAAGCATCTAAAACATTATCCAGAAAATTACGAAACACAGCTCATTCATCCTCTTGGCTACGAAGCCTGGCAAGCTTGTTAGTAACAACAACATCAAGCTGAGCTGCACGCTCCACAATCTCTTTCCGCTTTTTAGTAGATATATTGTGAGCAATTTCAGCACAGTAAGTCCTGATCCAGCAATTTCAAATCATTAATATCCAACACCAACTAATAACACATTGAGAAACGAGGGTTATATAGAAGAATCGTAATAACCTGTTGTGCATCAGCAGTAGCTCGAGCTCTTTGACATTATGGACAAGAAACTTCTTAAATCCATTCGGAAGATAGTGGCGGGTTTTCTTGTCAGACCCGTATCCAATGTTGGGCATCAAGGTGGAACCCTTAAACTTTCTCCTAACACGGGAGTCGATACCCTTGGGCCTACGCCAGTTTGGCTTTGAAAAACAAATAACACAGACAATTAGCTTTGTCGTTAAGGTTAAGATCAATGTAACTGAATGAGAATTCTGCAAACATTGCAAGAACAAGGCACACAATAATAATCAAACAGAGTTAAAGACCAAATTTTTTTGTTCTGTTTGTAAGCAGGATTATAGTAACAGAAAGCTTATAAATCTGAAGCTATCCGTGTCGCAAGGCCTGTTTCTGAGTTTTATCTCTGCCCTGAAACGAAATGCCCAGAAACCCAATACAATTCTGGACATTAGATACCATGGGCATAAATTTTTCACACATTGTAAAAAGGCGAACTTAGAAAATGAGCGACATAATCTGTGTCAACAATCTCAGCCGAAAGATGGTGATTTTGATTGTGATAATCACTGGACAATCAGCATTATTAACAAACTTCATCACAGATTGAAGGACGGACCAGATTTCAAGCATTTAAATTACAAGTAATTAACACATTTTAATATCAAGAAAGTATTAAGAAATCTATGCAGTATACAAATGAGCAAGAGAGATCAGATGGTAGTGCATGAATATATAATCATCATCCAAATTACAGAATGATTGGTTGGGTAAATATCATCACGCCTCTCTTGCATAACCAAATTACAACGAACTCAAAACAATCATCAAAAATGTCGACACACATAACAACCAGTTCAATTCTGAGAAAGTAAAGTAAAATCAAACCGGAGAAATCAGATAAAATGTCAATCACCACATTGCATCTCAAGTTAGATGCAGATTAAGCCTGGGGCGACAAAATTACGATCATCATATTCCCCCTACCTTAAACAAATCTCGTATACAATAATGCCATTTCTAAAGGACAACCTGAGACAAATTCAAAAGATCAAATGAAATACCTTAACAGAAACAAACCGATCGCTCTGGGGCCTCTTAAATTTCTTCACTCTCTTCTTAATGATCTTCTTGTCGAGAAGAGGGACCGCCATTGTAGCTCAAGTTCTGCAAGCAGACAAAAGTTGCAAGCCACAAACAATTTCATTAAACGAAACACTATAAAGCTTCTTCACAGTACATAACAAAACCTGTAGAGATGAAGAACGGTGAAGAAGGAAGAATTGCTTACCTTGGAATTAGGGTTTTGTGCTCTGGTTAGCCGCCTCTTGTGAGAAATGGATAAGTGGTAGCGGTGGATTATATATAGCATGACGGAGGTGTTCGTGATTAGGGTTTTGACTTTGTAGGCCCACAGGCCAAACTATTTTAGCGGATGTGGGTAGTGAACCGTGAGAGATTAGAGTGTACCGTAAGTTCTGTGGGTCATTGTGCAGCGGAACATATGGATCTTTTTACAAATGATTTTATTCCATTTGGATGACTGGCCAAAAAATTCGAACCGAACCGCTGAATCGTAGATCCGAATCGAAATTGAACCGAATTTTCGGTTAACCGAGGTACTCGGTTCGGTTACAAATATCTCAAAGGAAGTATTTGCTCAGTTCGGTTCGGGTACGGTTTTAGGATTTTTTTACCCCGGTTAACCGAACCGAATCGTATATTATATTAAAATTTATGAAATATATATTATATATTATATATTATATTTATATATATTAAACTAACTTGTTGGTATGACTATTCGCGAATTAATCGAACCGAACCGAACAAACCTAACACGGGGTAAAAAATCCTAAAAACTGTAATCGAACCGAACTAAGCAAATACTTCCTTTTTGAGGTATTTGCTCGGTTAGGTTCGGTTAATTCGCAAATAGTAAGATTTTTTTCGGTTAACCGGGATTTTCGGTTCGGTTTCGGTTAGCAAGTTCGAATATTTGCTCAGTTCGGTTCGGTTAGTAAATACCTAAAAAAACTCGAGTATCCGAACCGTGTCCAACCCTACATAAGAGCATTTTTTTATTTTATTTTTTCGCTTAATTTAAAGAGGATTAATAGTTGTATAGGTCATGACTCGAGACTTATTGATCTCAAGTGAAGAGTGTTACGTTTAAAGGCTATATTTGGTCACGACCCTCAACCAGTCTATGCAGAAAGGACAAACACAAAATAAAAATAAAAAATAAAAAATATTTGAAAATCAACAACCTAGGTCAAAAAATGCATTGGGTCACAACTCATTGGAGTTGTTGAAATGGGACAAGTGTCTTATTTCTATTGGATTACATAACTTTTCAGATAACATTATAGATAATCTATACTTATATAAAAGGTCATCATATTTACTAGAAATAGTAAGCAGAAAAGTCAAATGTAATTAATGCTTACTGAAAATAGAATGACATTAATTATAGATTTGTTTTGGTATTTATAGGCTTGACATTAAAGATTTGTTATAGGATAAAAATCAGAACCGATTTTTTTACCTTTGCTGGAAAAGTCAAAACTAAGTATAGATTTGTTTTATCCCTTAACATCAGTTTAGTAAAAAAAATCTCATAAAATAGGTTTTAATGTCAAGCATATGAATAAAGATTTAATCAGTTCTAATAAAGCAGATTTAATCGGTTTTAATAATTGCATGGGATTTCAAAGATGTTTATTTATTATAAAAAAATTAAATTCTAAAAAAATATTTTGTATATTTTGTAAAATGTTTGTACAAAATGTTTTACTTTAAATTTATTTACATAATTTAAATTAATCACATTAATAAATGATATGAACATACATTAAATATTTTAATTACATATTCTTGACCTCTGGCTTCAGGGGAAAGACGAAGAAGAAGAAGAATACTACATCTATAACTTGTATAAATAATAATAATGACATTATATTACAATAAATTTTATAATAAAATAATATGAGTATTGTACGAGGAACAAGATTACGTAAAATTGTATTTTTTATTATATCAAAGAATAAATATATAATGAAATTAAATTTATATTAATATAAACATGTGAACGAAATAATATATTAATTAATTTACGGGCTAGCGCTACCAGACCCAGGTTTAATGTTCCGACAAAAAAAAAATGACCTTGATGAAAAGATGTAAAAAGATAGATGATCAAACTCTATTATTTTTTAGGCCTGAACGGATAAGCTCTATGGTCCACTCATTTAATATCTCTCGTGAGTCGCGCTAGCTACTTAACGGACAATCTATGTAAAAATAACTCATTTAATACATATGCCCCGTGCATCGCACAGGCTACGTACTAGTTTAAATTAAGGTTAATAATTTATTCCAAAAATAAAAAATACCACCGTACTTTTCCATTCTCTTATGGATAAAAATCAGTCAATACATTTAATAGATTTTGGAATATAATCAATTTCTCTCTTTCACTCTTTCTCGAATCATATTTTATTAAGAGACCACATTTTTGGAACAAAATCATTTTATCTCTTTTCGCTCTGTCTATAATCCTATCTTATTAATTTTATCATCTTTTTTTTTCCTAATTTCCAACAAATATTATATGCATCCAAATTCTGAATATTACCTCAATTCTCAAAAGTTTGTCGAACCTTAAAAAGTTAACAAATTTCCAAAATTATTCACAAGAGTCATCTTCTACAAATCTTGCCCAATTGTAGATATAATAGTAACAAAAATCAATTGTATGTAATACTTAATAAATAAATAACTTAAAAATAAAATAAATTTTGTACATTGGTTGAGTTGTGGATAAAAGTAAGTTGGGTTGTAAAGGTAACAAGTAGTACACGGGTATGTAAATATAATAATATATATACAATAGAAAAATTAAAGTAATTTATTTTTTTATTGTACAATTATGTATAATGAATATATAAAAATGAATAATAACTAACAAACTAGTAATTAATTCAAAATATGGCACATATTTTTAACTTAATTTTCTTATTTTATTTAAATTTTATGAAAAAATGCTCATTATAATGATGATTATATATGTTTTATTGAATTATATTTTATTATATTTATTATAAAAAAAATTATATCATATTTATGTTTTTCAAATTATTTTTTTAATAAATTTAATTTTAATTATGAAAGATTAATTATTTGTGATTATAACTTGTGGACTAAGGCTACAAGTGAGTATTTATTTAGCCTACAAGTGAATATCACTTGTAGACTAAGGCAACAATGCAAAAAAGGTTTACTAGAACAAATCAATTACAGTGTTTTTCAAACATATCCAAAATATTCCCAACACATCTACTGAAAAAAGTAAAATATATCAGGAGTTCAAACAAGATGCTCTATATAAAATGAAACTATCTAAAAGAGAATAACCCAATCCCAAGAGTATTATAAGAAAGTAGTAATAAAGAACACAAACCCAAGAGATCTTTGTCGTAAAAAACTTCTTTTGCTTGTTCGTCCCTTGAACATATGTTGTTGCTCCTATTTTTTCTTCTTCATGAAACACTTACACAATTCCTTGGGGAAACTCAACGATGCTGCTACTCTTCTTCAAGAGATAAAAATTGTTAGTAGATTGTAAATAGTCTTTTTATTATTTTACTTGTATATAGTTTTCCCTTTTATTAAGTATAACACTTTGTAAAGTTGCTACTTGTCTCGGCAACTATAGGTATACTCTCCTAGTATAAATAGTGTCATTGTACACAATAACTCTAATTTTCGCTTTCATTTTCTTTACATACAATCATGGTTTTTGATCGCGGGCTATGGAAAATAGCGTCGGGCATTTCTGGCCGCTATTCGACGCTATAGCGCAGTTATAGCGCCGCTATGGCCGCGCTATAGCGCCGCTATAGCATAGTAGCGCCAAGCTGTTTTTGCCGTTATTCGCGCTATTCGTGCTATTCGCGTTATTTGGCGCTATAGCGGCGCTATTTGACGCTATATAGCGTCAAATAGCGCCGCTATAGCGCCAAATAGCGCGAATAGCGGCAAAAACAACAATAGCTTGGCGTTAGCTAATCTAAGTCGCTATAGCGGCGCTATAACGCGCTATTTAAAACCATGCATACAATACAAGCTTTCCTTTTTTTTCTCGTTCATGTCTCTATCTATTCTCTCAATCTGATATGATGTGATAAATGTTGCTCTAATACTATGCCCACAAAAAATATCCACCATTTGTTTATTGTTTTTTGTTCTAAAGACAAATAATCTATGTTGTTGCCCTCCCTTTTTCTTAACGCCAAAGTTTAAAGGAAGTATCTTTTTCCTTTTTTTTTTTTT